TTGAGGATTTGCCAATCTATTGGCATGGTTAAGTTTAAGGCATGGCTCTAATTCCATGTTAGATGAACACAACTCTCCACAATGTTATGATATTGTCCACTTTGAGCATAAGCTCTCGTGACTTTGGTTTGGGCTTCCCCAAAAGGCCTCACACCAATGGAGAGTGTATTCTTTGATTATAAACCCATGACTATTCCCTAAATTAACAGATGTGGGACACTTTCATCCAACGAACTCTTACTCTCCTTCCATCGTTGAGCCACTCACTTATATTCATTTTCTTATCTGTCACGACAGTGTAGCAAAGCACCTTGAATCTGCTAATACAATGTTTTCCTTCATCTGGTGGATTATTGGATTCTACTGGGTATCTGCAGGAGGCCGATCTTTAGCGCACGCCTCCCCTCTGCTTTACTGGTTTGTGATTACTCCTTGTTTGCACTGGGTTTTGAAGTTGATGGATTATCTCGTCATAGATTCTAACTTCTATTAATGTCGGTCGAACTGCAGGTTATGTATCATATTCTTGGGCTTTGATGTGTTCTTTGTGGTCTTCTGTGTTGCTTTGGCATGTATCGTTGGAATTGCTGTTTGCTGCTGTCTTCCCTGTATCATTGCACTTTTATATGCTGTAGCAGACCAGGTAATTTGTATGATGTCCCAGGATATATTTTTATGCCTCCATTAAAAGGTATAGATTATTGCCTACCATTAATCAAATTCCTTCGCTTTGTCCATTGTAAAACCATTGAAGTAGAAATAAGGGAGCGAGACGAGAGGTGTCTTCTTTTAATTATGTAACGTTTTCGTGTATTAGATGGATAAACCCCATTTGAAATGTGTACACAAGGGAAAGTGTGTGAGAAAGGAGAGTAGAACCCTTTGTTTTGTAACTAGACTCTGGGGCTGTAGTAAGGGGAGGCCGACGGGTATTAATAGGAGAGGAAAGTGCTGAATAAGGTACGTTTTGGCTTGTTTGTGCGGTGGCTATACTCGGGAGTCGAGCGAAATGGGAACCCCTAGAATTCTTCCTTGATTATACTTTGCTGATAAATAAAACCAGCTGTTTTCCAAGACTATTATAAAATTCTTCTGCTTTGTGTTGGCATGAAGCCCTTCTTGTTTATAGTAGTTCGTCTCGAGGTAATTGATGCCTCCTTGATGAATTCAAGATGCAAGGGGTCGGGTCCAATATACTCCGTTATTACGAACGAGAGAGAGAGAGAGTCATGACCTGAGCTAGGCATAGCCAATTTAACCTTTTATCCTAAACCATCTAAGATGGGAGTATGAACAAGGACTCTCCTCTTTTACGTTGCGGCCACCGGTGTGTTCTTTGCAGGAAATAGGAGAACCTAGACCATCTTTTGTTGGATTGTCTGTTTGCTTATCTCCCTTTGGTGTTGGTTTTTCAGAATCTTCGGGGTGGATATGGCTCGTAACAAAGGGTGTCGTTCCACGATTGAGGAGGTGATTCTGAACCATCATTTTCGCAACAAAGGGAAAGTTATGTGGCAGGACTCGTTTTTTTTTCTCGCTATTTTGTGAGGGCATTTGGCTTGACAAGAATAGTTGAATGTTTAGCGGGTCTGTGAGAGGTTTGGTGAGGAGCTTTCGGAGTCTGTCGGATTTAGCTCGTCTTTATAGAGCGTCCGTAAATCAGACTTTTTGTAATTACCAAGTGGGTCTCTCATTCTTTTGGCCTGAGATCCATTCTTGTAATTAGTTTTGGGTTGTATCCCTTGTACATTGTTTCATTTCAATGAAATCTTGGTTTCTTATCAGAAAGACCATTTAGTTTTGTTTACAAGGCCAACTTTACTGGCTTGATGCATATAATAATGCTTATATGCAGGAAGGAGCAACCAAAGAAGACGTTGAACAGTTGTCGAAATTTAAATTCAGAAAGCTCGACGATGCCGAGAAATTCTCTGCTGATTTACACGAACCTCTCGGTGGTATAATGACCGAGTGTGGTACAGATTTACCCATTGAACACACCCTCTCACAGGAGGATGCGGTATGTATCACATCCATTATCATATATCGAACCTTCGCTGGGATCTTACTTTGTTATAAACTAGAATTCGCTTGTTCTGTTCTCAAACTGACGACATTTCCTGCCTTTTAGGAGTGCTGTATCTGCCTTTCTGCATATGATGATGGCGTCGAGCTACGAGAGCTCCCATGTGGTCACCATTTCCACTGTTCCTGCGTCGATAAGTGGCCGTATATTAACGCTACATGTCCTCTCTGCAAGTATAACATCTTTTAAAATAGTAATCTTGCTGAAGAGGAAGTTTAAAAATACTCCTCGTTGCGAGTGTACGAACGTTAATACGTGTTGTTGAGTTATGTTTATGTTAGCCGTGAAAGAGCCTTTGGCTGCAGTTGTTAGTGTTGTGATCGTTGTGTATATTATTCTTTGCTGTAGTTGTTGCTCTGCTCAGGTTGCTTGTGTAAATGGCGATGTGAAGGTCCTGACTATTGCTCAACGCATTCCTTTGTTATTCTTCTCCTTTTCCTTAGTCCTCTCATCTTTTGTAATCTCATTACCAGTAAATTTAAGTTGCAAATCCTTTGCTTTGTACGCACTCTTCGAGATATGAATGAGATATGAACGAGGCTCGGGGCATTGTCTCTCGTTTTGGAGGCTCTCCCTCGGGAATGAAACTAGTGCTTGGGGAGGGGATGTAAAAGGGCACATAAGGCACTTCCGTTAACAAGCTTAACTACAACAAATTGCTAGTTTAGCTGCTCTTGTATGGTAGTACTGACTCTTAGAAAGATAGATTCCCCGATCTGAAATTAGAATATGAACGGAAAAGAATAAGAAACTTTTCGGACTTTATTGCATTCCTTTTTTATTCTCCTTATTTTTTAGTCCCGTCTAATCTTAAATTACAAATTTTTAAAATAAAATATTAACTATTTTTTATAATATTTTTAAATTTATAAAAAGAGTTAAAAAGATATTTTAGAATGGTATTGAAAATTTTAAAAGTTTAGAAGTATTTTTTTTAAATACGTGAATATATATATATATATATATATATATATATATATATATATATATATATTATTAATTTAGTTAAAAAAAGTAATTAATAAAAAAACCAAAATTACTTTTTAAATTGTAAGTAGGAAATAATAATAATAATAATAATAATAATAAACAATTTACTAGTAATAAAGGAAAAGTAACCTAATTTAATTTTGAGGATAAATAAATATTTAATAAAATAAAAATCCAAAATCAGAGGTCAACTAGGATTGATTCAAAAGCTGTTACTCAACTTGGGTTGCATAGCCACAATGATTGAAAACGAGTGGAAACTTATCTCATTTTTATTCTATTTCTTTCTTGGAAATTTTAATAAAAGAAAGAAAATATTTTAATTAAATTTAAAGGATCCGATTGGTGGGAATGATCCACTTTATTTCAAAGTTCCAAAATATATTCTTTTTAAAAAAAAAAAAAAAAAAAAAAAAATCTTTCATCTAATATTTTAAATGAAACCTGACGCCCACGATATTTAAACTTTAAATTTGTTGGATGAAAGTTCTGCCACTAATTTAGAAAATGATTATGAGTTTATAATCAAAGAATACTATCTTCATTCGTACGAGACCTTTTGGGTAAGCTCAAAGCAAAGCCATGAGAGCTGATGCTCAAAGTAGACAACATTATACCATTGTGAAGAATCGTGTTCAACTAACATAGTATCAAAGTGATGCCTTAAACTTAGCTATCTCAATAGAATCCTCTTTTTCAACGAACTTAGTATCAACATGTCAATAGAATCCTCAAATGTCGAATAAATGAGTCAAGGCTTCTCAAAGTCATAGTAAAAAATGACTAAGATTCCAAAAGAAACAAGTCGAGTCTCGATTAAGGGGGGAGGCGTACTTTGTTCGAGGGGAGGTGTTGATGAAAGTCCCACATCGGCTAATTTTGGGAATGATCATGGGGTTAGACTATCTAAAAATTCAAAAATTTGGGTCCGATTGTGGATTGACTTTTTTTTTTGTTAAGTCAACTCAACTAACCCGAGAATAAGGTTATAACCCAATTCAACACTATCCTATTTTTAAGATTATTATATAATAGAAAGTTGGGCCTTGGTAGCATATTTTTTTTTAGTTTAGAGTTGAGTTATTTAAAAATTCAAAAATTGGGTAGCTTCGTGGATTGTCTTTTTTTGGTCAGAGTCAACTCAATTAACACGAAAATAGGGTTATAACCCAATCCAACACTATCTTATTTTAAAGATTATTATAAAAGATAAAAATATTCGACTTTTGTTTCCAATGTTAATGCTGTATCGTGATTTGTGAATTTTTATATTTAAATTTTATAAGACTTAGTTATTAACGTAACATATATCATAGATGACTAAAATAAATAATAATAATAAAAGAACAACTCGGCCAAAATGAAAATAGAGAGTTGATTTGGGTTAAAGTGTGAACTCTATTCAAGTTATTCAGATTTTTACGAGTTAATACAAAAAAAATTCTCTAAACCAACCGGTATATATCCTTAAATATCGGACAATAGTTATTAAATTAGAAATCAGGAGTGGTTTGATTTAAGAATTTAAAATAGTCTATTTTAAAACTAAAACAATAATATTCTTGAAATTATTTATTACAACTTGTTTTTATTTATTTATTTATTTTTTTAACAATTGTTTTACGAAGTCTCCTAAAAAACTAAGCCCGTCGAAGGGCACAACCGTAATAATCCCCACCGAGATCGCAATTCGAGTCGACAGCCTTTCAGATGAAATTTGAAAAAACGATCCAAAAATTAGAAAAAAAAATCACAAAGTTGACATTGGACTCCCTGCTCGGCGTTGACCATTAATGAATGAATGGCATATTTCGTAATTCAGGGAACTTCCAGGGGTAAAATCGAAATAACAAAATGTGAAATCATCGACTTCTCTTACAAGGGCCGTTATATTTTTATTCATTACAGTTCAGTATTTCGCGCTCCTTCTACACGCTTTGCTCTGCTTCCATCTCTGATTTTACCGTTTCTTCTTCTTCCTCTCGATTTCCGTCGTGGTGATCGCCGATGGAGTCGGGTTCTTTGTTGCAGCGGTACCGTCGTGACCGGAAAAAGCTGCTGGCATTCTTGTTGTCCTCGCGTTTTGTCAGAGAGCTGAGGACTCCGGCAGGTCCTGTCACTGATTTCTCCGCCGTCGACCTTGACTCTCTGAGCGCTAGCTATGTTTTGGAGTGCATTAAGTCTGGTAATCTTGCTTCTTTGTGTGTGAGAGATGAGTGTGAGTTGTTGTAGTTTGAATGAAAGATTTGATATCGAATTTGCGGTTTAATCTCGAGTTTTTTTTATTGCCAATGCTCGAGAATGAAGCTGGAAGTCTTTTTCATTTTCTTTAGCTTCTTCTCGGTTCTATTAGTTTTTTTTTTCTTCTGTAAAATGGATTTGGTTTCCTTGTTTGGGATCGGAAAGTTTGCGTCAACGGTTCTGCGGCGGAGTGCTAGCTGCTTTCCATGTTTTTATAGCGCGTTCTCTGTTTTTTAGTTGACCGAGTCACGTAACTGTGAACACTTGCAAGGAATTTAATTTCATTGTTATTTTCTTGCTTAGGTGGAGTTATTGACATTTCTACAGCTGCTAAGAAGAAGCAACATGAATCTTCTTACCCGATAATGGTAAGAATATGTTAGTGAGAAGTTATTTGGTTTTGCCTTTTTCTCCGCGATTTACCTTCTGCTATGCCGTCGCTCTATGGAAAGTAAATAAATCATGCTAATGTTTCCGTGCTTCAGTGCTTCCGTCTGTTTATTCATTTATAATTTTTTAAATTTAAATTCTGAATGGACTGTGAAGTTTATGCACTATCTGAAAATGCTGAATTGAAGCTTGAGCTTTCCCAAAGTTTCTGTTGATTTCTTTTGCATGATATTCAGCGGACATTTTTCTCTCGAACTATCTTCATCGCATTTAACAACGCCTTGATCGTCCGTACACCAGAGGGTATGGCCTGAGCATCTTTTACTTAGTCGGGTAGTCAATCAAATGCCTCGCGAAGGTGCAACTTAGACAAATTAACTTTCGACTTGTACCAAAAGTATTTAAATTTCGAACATTTGTTTTAATGAAGATTTAACAGTAATCCATGCCAATTTTCTCTTAGTATTGTAGTTGTAGTAACTTTGTTTTAGAATTTCTGTTCTTCATTAGAGTTTTTGATTTCGGATGTGCAAGCAATAATTTTTTTTTTTTTTTTCATTAGAATTAAAAGAGGTCTGTGTGCATGTTTGCATTACTTACCAATTTGATTTTTGACTGCAGATACAATCTCGACTACGGACTTCTTATTTTCTACTTTCTCATCCAGATTTGTCTGGATCACCTCCTAGCCGTGCGCCACCGCCACCTAAAATGGTGGAGAGATCCTCTAGTGACATATCGTGTTCATCTAGGTCGCTTGGGTCATCAGTTGATGACAATATTGCAACCTATAGTGATGACTGTGGTCCTCAGTCTAATGGAACAACAGCCACACCTTCGAAACTTGTGAAGGATCTCAAAGTTCCGGCTTTAGGACTACCTAAGTTGTATACAGGTATTTGATGCTTTTATTCTTCTATTGAACCGAGATTTCATTTTCATTTAAATTCTTAACAAACAGACATGTTTATCCTTTCATATTTTTCCCATTAAAAATAAAAAGAGTTTTCCGAAACAATGCTTAAATTTGTTAAGATCCCCACCTCCCGACCATCATTTCTTATATTGTAAATTGATTCATAGTTTTATGATGATCAAAGGACTGACAGATGATGACTTGGATGAAGCAGCATATTTAATCTTGCTTGCATCAATCGCATTTTCTGGGTGCGCTCTTTTCTTATGGAAATGCTAGACTTATTTATTTATTTTGTAGTTTGTCCTGCTTAAGTGCTACGTATTGTGCTTCCGGAAACTTGAATTTGAGTTCATGTCTCTTTTTCATTTTTCTTTTCTTGATAGTGATAGGGAACATAAAATATATCCGTCTTCTTTATCATTTGTTTGTTCTCTCTCTCTCTCTCCATCACCAGGGTTGAAATCTATTCATCTGAGGATAAAAAGAAAGAAAATGGTATTACACATACTGTAGGGATGACAAGTATAAGGAATGAAGTAGATGTTCAATCAGAGAATTTTGAAGGACATTTGAATTTTCTTCACGCTATCCGCACCCAGATGCAGGCAAGGCAGACTCTGTCTCTCAGATGATCTTATCGCTATTTCCTTTTTACATTGATGTCATACATCTGAAGCTTAACGATCTATTGTAGCTATTTTGCTGCATATAGTGAGATTTTCTTTTCTCCTAGAGAGGTTAACAGAAGTCTACTAATTCTTATATATTGTTTCAGGTTTCATTTTATATGTTGTTTCATTTTTATCTGCTCAATGAAGTTTAGAATTGCCGGTTGAAATCTCGATGCATTAATACATGTTCCCAATCTATCTTACTGTTCCTCTCCCTCTCTCCCTATCTCTTCCCCCATTAACTTGGTCAATTGCTGATTTGGACTCAGAATTTATATTATTTGACCAGATTTCAGCAGTTTCTGATGCATGCATGAGGAAAAGATTAATGGAATTGGCTGCAAAGAGAAACTGGGGGCAAATTAATGTTCCTCAAGTTTTGTTGGTCCTCTTGCATGGGGTTTTCAGGTCTGATTTTCCTAGTGAGAAAGCTTATATGCAATGGAAGTTCAGACAGGTAATAAATCAATTGTGGACAATTGGTGAAAATTTTTTTTGCATTTTTTACCGTAGTTAAATTGGCTGAAAGCTCTTTAGTTATTTTTTCTGCGTCACTGTTTATCAATTATGTACAATGCACATCCTGTAGAGTGTAACCAATTGTCTTTATATTGGGCATTTTTCGATCAAGCAGCTTTAGTGGCTCATTTATGGAACTGCTTTTTGAGAAAAAAGAATGTATGTATATCTTACATCTATAGGAAACCATATATTCAAAAAACAGAGAAAAAATGAACAACCTTCCAATCTAGGTTTTCACTTATTCCATATATTGTAGTATAGACGGGCTTTTGAAACTCCGAGAAACATGATACTTTCATAGAGATTGACATCTCTGTTGGTCCTGCAACTATAAGAAGTTGGAATGGTGACATTAAAGTGAGGGGCTTAATGGGTACTGTAGTTTTAAATAAAGTACACAATCCTCCCCTCGAACAAACAAAGTACACCATAGAGCATCCCTTGAATCCTCCTTCTCTGGAGCTCTTGAACAACCTCCCCTAAATTGAAGTTTGACTCCTTCGCTAGAGCCCTCAAACAAAGTACACACCTTTTGTTCGACACTTGAGTCACTTTGACTGTACCTTCGAGGCTCACAATTTCTTTGTTTGACATTTGAGGATTCTATTGACATGCCTAAGTTAAGGACATAATACCATGTGAGGAATCATGGACCTCCACCATGGTATGATATTGTCCACTTTGAGTAGAAGTTCTCATGTCTTTACTTTTGGTATCCCTAAAAGACCTCACATGAATGAAGATAGTATTCCTTATAAATCCATATTTTTTTCCTTAATTAGCCAACGTGGGACTACTTCTCCCAATAATCCTCAACAGGTGATGACGGTTATATTTGTGATTTTCCTTAAAATAGATGAAGTATGCTTTAATTCAATGTTCCGTTCAGAAATTTATTGTTGGTTAATTGCTCGGGAGAAAGATCCTGGCTTCTTTAAAAAATGAACAATTACATTATTGATTATGGAACTCGATAACATACACATCCAGGTCTATTTTTTTCTTTCTGTACTATGAGTTACCTTACATGGACATACAAGTCCTCTCCTTACTTAACCATGAAGTTTGGCGGCTGCATCTCTAGGTCAATCTTTTGGAAGAATTCTGTTACTCTGCTAATCTTGTAGCTTCTGAACGTCAAATCTGTGAAAGTTCTCTTGTGAAGATCAGAAGTACAAAGGTTCAGTTTTATTTTATTTTATTTTTGTTTTTACTTTAATTAGATACAGAGAATTAAATGCTAGTTTAGAGTGGTTCATTCTTCAGATTTCTAAATTCCTTCTGAGATCGATCATATAAAAGAATCTGATTTACTGCATTGTTGAACATGGTAGGAATGGGATATCAATATGGTTCGATCTGAGCGTGCAAAAGTATTGTCAGGTATTGGACAAGTACTGTCGAAGTTGCCAGCTCCCTCTGCTTATCACTTAAACATCAGGTTATATGAGAAATTGATTTTAGGCATGTTTGATGTTCTTGACGACAGCCATCCCGTTATGGTATTTGTTCTTCCTTTAATATTTGTTTGATTTAGTTTTGCGTGTGCTGTAAATTAAGGCTCATAAACGTCTGATGATTAGCCTGTTACCTTTGTGTAGGAAGTGGATGACAGTCTCGTCCTTCTCAAATTGACTTGGTCTGCTTTAGGCATCACTCCGGAAGTACACAGTGTGATCTTCGGGTGGGTCCTTTTCCATCAGGTATACTTCTCTATGAAGTGATTAGTAGGGCTCGTTTTCTTTAACAAACTGCATTATTGAATTCTTCATCGTCAAATTGAAAAATTTGGTACTACTTATTTGCTAAGAATTTTTGAACTACTTCTTGAACCATAAACAATTTTTTTTATTAATGAAATGAAAAGAGACTAATGCTCACGAAATACAAACTCCCACGAGGGAGTGAAAGGAAAAACTAAAAATTAGGAAACCTTTAATCAAGCAGATTCAACACGATCTAGTCTAAGAAGAAGCCTGCTTGCAAAGATTCTTTGATGCTGTTCCAAACATAACTTGATAAACTCCCGAGGAGGCTACCGCTATCTTGAGATAACAAAACCTCAAAAAGGGCTGTTGGCGTGCCGAACATTCCAACAGAAGCGACAAAACAAAGCATCTATTTCCTTTCTCTTTAACTGAATATGAAAAAAATGATCTATGAAAGGCTTGAGATAGCCCAAAGGCCAAACCATAGAAGAAATTGAGCAAAACCTGCAGGTACAATATTTACTATGGTAGGAGGATAGGTTAGGCATGCTATGTAATTGATTCTTTAATTCTTGGGCAATTGTTGACTATTTGTACAGGACAACCTGTTGTTTTTGTTGCAAACCTGCAGGTACAATATTTTACATGTTGGTGTGGTTTATTTTTTAATGTTATATTTAAAATTTAATTACTTTTCATAGAAAAAAAATATGCCTTATCCTCTAGTTATAACTTATAAGAAAAAAAGATAGTTAGCTGTATGCTTAGGAAAATAATATTGGTTGTTTTTTTTTTTATCTAATATATTTTTCTATTGAAGTTTGTCAAGACAGGTGAAGCCTCATTCTTGGACGAAGCCATTCTTGAGTTACAGGAGGTTGCATCATCTAAAGATGACGGTGGGAAAGAAGAACAATATTTGAAAAGCCTATCATGTTCAATATCATGCAATGGCAATGAAATGAAGTTGAGTTTGGTGGAGTCCGCCTTCTTCTTAATTAGCAGTTGGTGTGACATTAAACTACAAGCCTACCATTTGCACTTCCGTGAGGTGAATTTCAATTCTTGGTTGACATTTTTCCTATGGTATCCTGTCAGCCCCATAAATGTGATGACCATTGCTCAAATGTTTTATATATTACACAGCTTTTTTGATGTAAGGTCCCAATATTATTCTACCTCCGTTAATTACTATTTCTAGCGTACCATTGCCCTTATATTTGTTATCACGTTCTTGAATGTTCCAAATTTCCTATCATTTGTCTACACTAATTTAGCTATTTTTCTTAAAATCAGAAAACTTCTTACTTTGGGAAAGTGGTGAGCCTGTTGTCCACTGTTGGAGTTATTACTGATTGCAATACTGTAAAGGTAGGTACTAATGCCCAGCGTACTAAAATGGATATTTGATTTATAGATCTCTTGGGCTATGTTTTCATAAATCTTCCGTTTTGATAGTTCATGTCTAAATAGAAATTTGTTCCCAGAAAAAATCATTTCTCCCAATTTTTTTTTACAATAACTTTCATATTACATTCAGCGATACAATCTCCGTGGGAGTAAAATGAAAAATGAAAATGATGTTAAATCACCACAAGCTAGCTTACAGGTTATGGTAAATTTATTTATTTTATTTTTTTTAATCAATGTTGTAACACTCTTCTCCACTTTTGGGCTTGAAAAGTAGTAGAAGGCCCAATAAGTGAAAACCAATAATACTAGGTGCATAAATTAGTTACAAAGGTTTGAACATAAGACCTCTCTGAACTCAAAAACTTAAGCTTTTGAGTATAACATGCCTGAATTGTTCAGTCATGTGGAGTTACGCGAGTTTATCATGTTATGACGAGGATATTAAGGGATTGGAGGTTATCATTTCCTGATGCTATATGGAATAACTAGCTTTAGTTATAATGTTGCTTACTGAATTAGCAAAATTCCAGGAGCTTGCTTGCATAATTATGGTGGTCACTTTAAATAGCTTGTTTTCTATCCTTTAGCGTGATGCATTCTTTGCTGTTGTTTGTGGGATTTAGCTAGAGATGAATAGTAGAGTTTTTGAGGGGTTTAGGAGATCTCCTGATCTCCCGATAGATTTATTGCACATGTCTGTTACTAAGAGTTTTTTTTTTTTTTTTTTTTTTTTTTTTTTTTTTTTTTTTTTTTTTTTTTTTTTTTTTTTTTTTTT